GGTCATCTGGTATATTGTACAGGGTCATCTGATATACTGTACAGGTCATCTGATATACTGTACAGAGTCAACTGGTATACTGTACAGGGCCATCTAGTATACTGTACAGGGTCACCATACATTGGAAAAGTTGTGTAACAACAGGTATCTTGGAACATGTTTGCCGTGAGTGGGAGAGAAAACTGTGTGTGTAAAAAGAGGTGACCAACACATAGAGAATATTTTGCAAATATTTTGTAAATTTTTATAATGAATATGAGGTCTGATAATTAAGTTCATGAACTCATTCCCAAAAGTGCTACATACCTCACTGCTGCATATCACTATGTTAACCTTCTAAGTCCTCCCCTTGGGAAGCTACCCACTGACACCAGCACCTAGACCACCCTTCAAAGCAATCCTGGAGCTCTTTTTCTGGAATGGCCATCAGCGCTGTTGTAGTAAGGCACATAAAGACCTGAAATGACAGGGCTGAATGCTACTCAGCAAGGCACTGACACACATCGACAGGAAGACAGCAGTGAGAGCCACTTCACTCAGTGAACCCTACTGAGCTCTTTACACAGTGCTGCGAGTGGAAGCGTATGGCAGCCGTTCATCAACCGACTGTGGGACCTGCCTCAACAGCAGCTCTGATGGCCATTCCAGAGAATGAGTTCCAAAATTACTTTGGAGGTAAGAGCTTCTCTACCTAACAAATGCAAACCTTGTAACCTAATTCTTTGTATCCTCAAATTCACTTGAAACAATAATAAAAAAAATAAAAAAGTTACTTTGGAGGGTGGGCTAGGGGCTAGGTGATGACGTATAGCTTCCTCAGGGTAGAACTTTGAAGGTGACTGTAGTGATACTCAGCAATGAGGTATTCAGCACTTTTTCTAGGATGAGTTTGCCAACTTAATTGTAAGCCCTTGTATTTTATAAATCAAGGTATATTTAGCTACAATTTCCCATTTTTCCAAGTTTGCATCATTTACTTTGACCCTGCATAAAGAACATTATTTGTTCTTATTTCTCAAAATCATGGCATAAAACTTTTGATTTTGCCATTTAAACTAACCATTAGGGGAATAAATTGGAGCATCTGTCTAATCTGTTCAAATCGCTACTCTTAAACACAGAATAATTTACTCTCTTTGCTTGGATGCTCAAATGTACATTTGAATATGTCCTGATGAAATAGGTCTTTTTCAAAAAGGCTGCTTTACATTTATAACGTATGCACACTACAGACGCTTACGACTTCTGACTCCTCCTATTTACTGTTTCCATAACGCCGATCAATCACCAAATTGATGTATTTGTTGTGCTATTTTTCCCCCTTAAAATGTACTTTATTTTTTTATTTTTTTATTAAATCATAGCTGTGTACATTAATGCAATTATGGGGTACAATGTGCTCGTTTTATATATAATTCGAAATACTTTCATGAAACTGGTTAACATAGCCTTCACCGCATTTTCTTAGTTATTGTCTTAAGATATTTATATTCTACCCTTAGTAGGTTTAACATGTACCCTTGTAAAATGCACCATAGGTGTTGTCCCACCAATTACTCTCCCTCTACCCATCCTGTCCCTTTCCCTCCCCTCCCCCTCCTCTTTCTCCTTCATCTTGGGCTGTAGTTGGGTTATAGCATTCATATGGAAGTGTGGGTGTTTATAAATTGGTTTCATAGTAGGGCTGAGTA